ATGGAGAATACTGTTGTTTTTTTGTTTTTGTTTTTTTTAATTTTGTATGCAGAGATTCTGTTTTAACGTGATAGAGATTCCATCTAAAGCGTTACCTTGATCCAAAGTGAATGCTCTTCTAATCTGTCTTTCTGCCAGACTAAGGTAAACTTTGTAAACACCACAGCTATCAGAAGCTGTAAAGCTTTTGTTAATCCATTCTTAATATTGTTGATCTTAAGCTTAAGACATTGGAACGTACTGTTTTAAATACACAAATGGACAAAAACAGTAAAGTATTAACACTGTCATATAACTTTTCTTTAAATTAGCAATAGAGGTGGATCAAGATCGACCTCTGAGTCATCCAGATGTGAATAAAAACACTGGCAGTTGTCCACATTTTTTTTTCTTTTACTATTGTTCATCCAAAGCTCAAGAGCAACAGAAAGCAGAGCTTTAATAGATAAGGTTGTTGTAAGAGCGTACAAGGAGGGATATATAGGTTAGATAACGGTTGATCCTAGATTTAAAATAGTTAGGATTTGTAGTGATCGAGGAAGTGCCCTCTCGGGAATATGTTCAACAATACAACGGTTCTGGGAGAGAAGAAGCCTGAATAGAACTACCTCTTGACCAATGACATTTGAAGGGAATGAGGATGCTTCGACTTTATTTACGTGGCATGACGGGACCTAGCTGTGTTTGGGACAGGTGAAACCAAGATATGTAATTCGCCTGATACCTTCTTTATAGTTAGATGTTCAATCCTAACTACATTCGTGCGTTTTCTGTCTTTGTTATTAGTGTCAGCCATCGACTATTCGATATAGCGTACTTCCACAATTATTCGGATTCATTGGTACAGCGGTTGAACATATATGTCTATATAATTCAAAACTGAATGCTTAGATTATCGAAAAAGAGTTCAAGAAAAATGTAATTTTCCGAAATAAATTTAACATTTATACCGGGTGTAACAGCAAAATTGTCCAAACCGTGTAACAGTATAATTATCCACACCACAAAATGTTTGATATCTAAAAAAAATAGATAAATAAATAAATAAATTACTTGAGTTTTTTTTACCTGGTTTTTCAGATAAGACCCATCTTGACACAATTTGTCGTACGAATCACTGAAAAACTCTTTGAGTTATTCGGCTAAAAAGAGAACAGGCTAAAATCGTTTTGTGTCAGACCCACTGTCTTCCCAACTGAGCAATAGTGAGACGAAAAAGATCATTCGGGCCTTTACTAATGGTACCAACTTTCATAATCTAACCTGAAAATTAAATCGTACGTGAAACCTATGAGGCAGCTTGTTACTCCTAGACAGAAAGTTAGAAGGTTACAGAGGGTGAAGATCATTTTGAATAAGTTGCAAAATGATCCTGAAATAATATATTTGAACTTTATCTTAATCCTTAATGAGCTTCCGATCCTTAGCTATGAATTAATGATAAACATATCATTTTTGTTTACGATCGATTTCAGCACGATTTTTCTGTTAAGCTTAGAGAGTAATTATACAATCTTATTGTTCAAAGTAGAGTCCAATAACGTTATAAAGACCTAGGAGAATTCCAGTAAGATATATTTAATCACTTTTAAGATACAAGGGTTCAGAGCTTAATCTAACAATTGGACAATTTTGCTGTTACCCGATTTGGACAATTTTGCTGTTACACGATTTGGACAATCGGTAACACCCGGTATAATCAAATGTCATTTGTAAACGTTTTTTCAAGGTTTTGTTTAGCTTACTGCATATGAAACTATTAGTGATACACGTTTTCTTATTCAACTTATAGCTGGAGAAAAGAAGTGGATTCTTACCTTTCGCAAAAGTATTTCCACGTCAGTGAATATAACGAAACCGACTGGAATTGGAACTTGGCTCACCAATTAACAATCGCAAGACATTATCCATTACGCAACCCACGCATTCGAATTTACAGCACTTGGTATTAACAAGCAGTCACCTCTCTAGGTCACTGTCCAGGATCGGCGTTGCTTAACTTTGGTGACCATACGGGAACCGGTGTTTCAACGTGATATGGCCGTAAGCCAATGATACAAACCACGCATCCAAATTTACGGCACCTGGTATTAACAAGCGGTCACCTATGTAGTTGCTGACCAAGCTGAACGTTGCTTAATTCACTGATCGTACGCGTATGGGTGTTTTAACGTGATATGGCCGTAAACCCTGCGATAAGAGGAGATGCATTTATAACAGTAACTTCTGGTTAAAGTCACACACAACTTAAACATTTGTCAAACATAATTGTTGCTTCGTTGTTTGACATTTAGTTTTCGAAATTCTCAAAACGCTTGTCTAATATGAAATACCGGGCGTAACAGCAAAATTGTCCAAATCGTGTAACTGCATTGGATAATTGTCCATCCCACAAAATGTTTAATATCTAAACTAATTGAGTTTCTTTTTTCCATATCAGCTGCTGTAAGGGTAAACACTGGTGGCGTCACCTTAAAAACAATACCGGTTTACAAAGGTTAATATTTGGCTGTCGAAGAAATCAACACTATTTTATTCCCTTTTCTACCTAATTTATTTTTACCAAACTATTTTATTTTTTACCAATCTGTTTTATTTTTACCAAGCCATTTTATTTTTTACCAAGCTGTTTTATTTTTACCAAGCGATTTTATTTTTTTCCAGCTTCTTTTATTTTTGGCTGTCGAAGAAATTAAAACTATTTTATTTCTTTTTCTACCTATTTTTTTTTTTTACCAAGCCATTTTATTTTTTACCAAGCTGTTTTATTTTTACCAAGTCATTTTATTTTTTACCAAGCTGTTTTATTTTTACCAAGCGATTTTATTTTTTCCAGCTTCATTTTATTTTTGACTGTCGAAGAAATTAACACTATTTTATTCCCTTTTCTACCTATTTTTTTTTACCAAGCCATTTTATTTTTTACCAAGCTGTTTTATTTTTACCAAGCCATTTTATTTTTTACCAATCTGCTTTATTTTTACCAAGCGATTTTATTTTTTTCCAGCTTATTTTATTTTTGACTGTCGAAGAAATTAATTTTATTTTTCCCTTTTCTACCTATTTTTTTTTAGCCATTTTATTTTTTACCAAGCTGTTTTATTTTTACCAAGCCATTTTATTTTTTACCAAGCTGTTTTATTTTTACCAAGCGATTTTATTTTTTTCCAGCTTCTTTTATTTTTGGCTGTCGAAGAAATTAAAACTATTTTATTTCTTTTTCTGCTTTATTTTTTTTTTTACCAAGCCATTTTATTTTTTACCAATCTGTTTTATTTTTACCAAGCGATTTTATTTTTTTTCCAGCTTATTTTATTTTACTTTTTTATTCCCTTTTCTACCTATTTTTTACCAAGCCATTTTTTTTTACCAAGCTGTTTATTTTTTACCAAACCATTTTATTTTTTCAATCTGCTTTATTTTTTACCAAGCGATTTTATTTTTTCCAGCTTATTTTATTTTTGACTGTCGAAGAAATTAACACTATTTTATTCCTTTTCTACCTATTTTTTTTACCAAACCATTTTATTTTTTACAAGCTGTTTTATTTTTTACCAAGCCATTTTATTTTTTACCAAGCTGTTTTATTTTTACCAAGCGATTTTATTTTTTTCCAGCTTCTTTTATTTTTGGCTGTCGAAGAAATTAAAACTATTTTATTTCTTTTTCTGCCTATTTTTTTTTTAAAGCCATTTTATTTTTTACCAATCTGTTTTATTTTTACCAAGCGATTTTATTTTTTTCCAGCTTATTTTATTTTTGGCTGTCGAAGAAATTAAAACTATTTTATTTCCTTATCTACCTAATTTTTTTTTTACCAAGCCATTTTATTTTTTACCAACCTGTTTTATTTTTACCAAGCCATTTTATTTTTCCTGCTTATTTTATTTTTGCTGTAGTTAAAGATAAACACGTTGAGTCCCACTTTCCATTTTTGCCTATTAATAAAAATATATTTGTTTAAAAGCAAACATAAAACAAATACTTTAAATTATTCTATTTTGCAAAATAAAAAATATTTATTTGGATTTTTATTTACAATTTTTAATCAGTTTAAAAATGCATTATTTTCTGGAATCTTTAAATTTTAACAAATGGGGTTATAAACAAATAAAACATATAGAAATTTTGATTTTACAATAGTATGTTACTTTTTATCACTTTTTAGATTTTTACATTATTTTAATTATCAAGTTAGTACTTATATTCCAGTTTTCATTTTTTTTTCGGATAAGACATTTAGCCATCTTGACACAATTTGAAAAACCCTTTGAGTTATTCAACTAGAAAGAGAACAGGCTAAAATCGCTTTTGTGTCGGCCCCACTATGTCTTCCAAACTGAGCAATGGTGAGAGGAAAACTAATTCAGGCATTCAGTACCAACATTCATAATCCGGCTTCTAGCTTCAACGTGCAAGAACCATAAAGAGAACAGTGAATAAGTTTTAAAAAGATGGAACAGTAGAGTGGAAAATTGAATCAAATTGTCACAACCGCAAGAGAGTTCATCATTTCAACTTAGAGCAAGATACGTTCTTATTGTTCAAACTAGAGTCCAATAGTGTTATAAAAACGACAGAGAATTCCAGTAGCAATCCTGTTACACGATTTGGACAATTTTGCTGTTACACCCGGTATTAGAATTGTTTTAGTTCGAAAACCCGAAAAATGTTTGAATGACTTCAGTATCTATTTATTTCGCGTCTGGATAATCGAAGTCCGAAAAATCGAGGAAACACAGCCAAAGAGCAGAAATGTTGCCCTTGTAATAAAAAGACTCCTTAAAATAACTGGCATCTGCAGCCGTAGCAAAATCAATGATCAGATATGAAATATGTTAATATTTTCTTTTATTTATTGAAAGAAAATATTTTAAATTAAATCAAATTATAAAATTAAAATAGAAAGAGAAAAAGAACAATAACAGATTTCATCACAATTGTCAAATAAATAACACCGAGCCAGTTTCATTTCTAGCTAAAACAGCGCATAACAGGAAATGACGTCATTGGTGACTCATCGGAAAAGGACAGTCAATTCTCTCTTCAAGAAATTCGATGCTCATCCCGTCGTGAAAAACGAGAACTTGAGATGACGTTTTAATTTTACTTTGAGTTTGTCTCTCTTCATGTAAATCAGTCTTGGCATCTGCCATGGAGATCATCAAAAAAGAAAGAAAAATGAAAAAGAAAAACAAAGAAAAAGAATTTGATGAATGTTAACATTAATTTAAAAACGCAGACTCATTAACTTTTTTCCCCAGTAAATCTTTTTCCCCTTTTCATGAACTACCACATTTTTATTAATATACCTATTCATTGCGATGATGTATTCATTGATTATTGTATTTTACAAAATATTCTTTAAAGAGGAATATTTCGCGTCAATACAGCAGAGACACATAATCGTATTATTTCGCTAGATAAATTCTATAATTCAATTCAATTGTTTTAAGATTAAGCTGATCTTATTATTTTCAAGCCAAAAGCTTTGTCATGTTATCAAGAACATATCAAAGGTTATCATACAAGAGGACATAACTGACAAATTAAAGCAGATAATCTGAAGTCTTTTACTCATTTCCCCCTAAGCAAGGCAATAAAGCCGCTAAGATGCAAAATAAGATAAAATTTCAATTGTCTCCTTCTGATTCTAAATATAAATATCCTACTTGTTCCAGTTTGCCTTCAAAACGTTCTCTCTGTTCATGTATTTCATCTTTGGTATTCTCAGCATCCTTCTGTAGAAGAACATCATTGTTTCCTCTTTGTATGTGAGCAATGTGTTCAATATTCCCTGACATGTAGAAGTATTAATGATGCATAATATTTCAACATTTTTTTCGGTGTAACAAAAATTTTTCGGTTTCGTAATACTTTGTTTAGCTTTGGAAATGCATCTTTGGCTATTCAAATCCGTCTTCGGATTTCGGTGTCACATTTCAGTCGTCTGTTATATAACTTCTCAGATAAAAAAAAGATTCGGTATGTGTTTGATTTCGACATTTGCTTTGACTGATTTGGACGTGACTGCGTTTGATTTGATTGCTTTTGACTTGATTGCTTTTTTCTTAGTCTTTTTTATTTGACCGATTTTGCTGTGCCCGATTTTGACGTGATTGATCTTGTCTTGACTGCGTTTGACCTGACTGATTTTGTCTTGTTTCATTTTGAATTGCTTGCTTTTGACTTGATTGCTTTTGACCTGACTGATTTTGACTTAATTGGTTTTGACTTGACTGCGTTTGACCTGACAGATTTTGTCTTGTTTCATTTTGAATTGATTGCTTTTGACTTGATTGCTTTTGACTTGACTGATTTTGACTTAATTGGTTTTGACTTGACTGCGTTTGACTTAATGGTTTTTGTTGTGGTTGATGTCGACTTGAATGCTTTTGACTTAAGTGTTTTTGACGTGATCGATTTTGACATGATTGATTTTGACTTGATTGGTTTTGACTTGATTGGTTTTGACTTGACTGGTTTTGAAATGTAGTCTGTATCTTGGACTGCCCTTCTAGTTAACGACTATCCATTATGTCTTCATACAATACTAAGATAACTAGAAAGTGTAGCAGGATATAAAACCATAATCGTAACAGCATATGACACTGTGTTGATGGTAAACGCAGACGTAAAACTGAAACAATGCTTAAACAGGACATTAAAGAAAAGCAAGAAAGAACTTAGTCAGTCGCGAGCTCTGATGCTCGGAAAGTTGATTCACAGTGTCGTGCTAGACAATTCCTGTCGCCAGAATCTATCTTACACTTTTATATGTCTACCATTCGTCCTTTCATGGAATGCTGTTGCTACATCTGGCTCGGTGCTTTTACTATATACCCAGAGATTCATGAAAAAATCCAAAGAAGAATCTGCAATGTTAGCGGTCCTGACCTGACATTTCCGCTTCAATCAGTTTCCTACTTTCGTAATGTAGATTCCCTGTACCATTTTTATAAATATTTTCATGGCAAGTGAATATGACTTTCCCTATTTGAAGCCTCGACTTCACGAATTAAAGTCCATTTCTAGATTGGCCGCTACGTCTCATCATTTTATCGTTGAAAATGATTTAAGATATTGAATTGTTTTGAGCTCGTTGCTATCATTCTTAACGAATTAAAGTCCATTACTAGATTGGTTACTAGGTCTCATCATTTTATCGTTGAAAATGATTTAAAATATTGAGATATTGTTTTGATGTGATTTACTCGTTGCTATCTCATTCTTAACGAATTAAAGTCCATTACTAGATTGGCTGCTAGGTCTCATCATTTTATCGTTGAAAATGATTTAAAATATTGAGATATTGTTTTGATGTGATTTACTCGTTGCTATCTCATTCTTAACGAATTAAAGTCCATTACTAGATTGGCTGCTAGGTATCATCATTTTATCGTTGAAAATGATTTAAAATATTGAGATATTGTTTTGATATGATTTTCTCGTTGGTACCTTATTCTTCACGAATTAATATCCATTGCTAGATTGGCAGCTAGGTCTCATCCTTTTACTCCTGAAATAGCAAAATAACAACTTATTTTCTAATAATCTCTTCTCCTGTACTTCGTATATTGACCCCCCTTTCGCCTATAGAACTCTCTTCTTATTTTCTATCAACTATGATCTATAAATTTTTAAATGCAACGCTAATCGATATCTTTTGTCATTTGAAATCCTCTTCGTTCTTCTTTCTTTTCAGTGACATTTTCTTATCTGCATACATACCTAGTTGGGAACTGATGGCATCGTGGAGATCATTGATGGAGATCAGAAACAATGTAGGACCCAGTTTGTGTGAAAGGATCTGGAAGCGAGCCCGTTTAAAACGACCTTCAATTGAATCAAATCAAACATTAGTCTTGTGACACAGTAGCCCTTGAGCTTGCGTAGAAGACCAGCATGCCAAACCCTGTCACACGCCTCCGAGATATCTAGAGCAACAGCTCGAGCTTCGCTCGCCGTTCTTATCCAGAGCTTGATATAGAATTCAGTGATGGTCGTTAACACATCAGTGGTACACTTGGAACTGAATCCATATTATTTGTCCGGGAGAAGGACGCGAGAATTAAGATGCTTAACCATAAATTTGTTAGCATCTCAATTCTCACGACCTCCTTTCACATTGATTAGAGCCTTGAAAACTTTGCTAAAAAGCATTTTTACTTTTCTTTCTTTCCTGTTTTACCTAATTCATCTGTTCACCGATCTATCTATCTATCTATCTATCTATCTATCTATCTATCTATCTATCTATCTATAGGGAGATTTCATAACCTGTCCATTACATATATATAGGTAAAGATTCGCTAAAAATGATCACACATGATAAAAACAATGTTCAAAATTTACAAAGAAAAACAAAGTTTTATCGTCAAAATCTTTACACCATTTATTAAGAGGAAAGATCATATTTTTTTTATTATTTATTAAGAGGATATATCATTTTTTTATTATTTAAGAAGAAAGAACATTTTTTCATATTATTTATTAAGAGGAAAGATCAATTTTTATTATTTTTTAAGAGGATATATCAATTTTTTATTGTTTATTAAGAGGATGGATCAATTTTTATATTATTTATTAAAAGAAAAAATTAATTTTATATTATTTATAAAGAGGAAAGATGAATTTTTTTAATTATTTATTAAGAGGATATATCATTTTTTATATTATTTATTAAGAGAAATGATCAATTATTTATATTATTTATTAAGAGGAAATTTCAATTTTTTATTATTTATTAAGAGGAAAGATCGATTTTTATTATTTTTTTAAGAGGATATATCAATTTTTTATATTATTTATCAAGATGCAAGATCAATTTTTTATTATTTATTAAGAGGATATATCAATTTTTTATATTATTTATTAAGAGGAAAGATCAATATTTTTATTATTTATTAAGAGTATATATCAATTTTTATATTATTTATTAAGATGAAAGATCATTTTTTTATATTATTTATTAAGATGAAAGATCAATTTTTTATATTATTTATTAAGATGAAAGATCAATTTTTTATTATTTATTAAGAGGAAAGATCAATTTTTATTATTTATTAAGAGGAAAGATCAATTTTTATTATTAAATTATTAAATTATATTTTTAATCCTTTTCGCAACCTTCGAAATTTTGGTTAAAAATTTTGTTTTTCCGGTGTCAATCAAATTAATTTGGGAAATTTTAGAAATATTTTGCGATGGAAAACAAACTGATTTGGAAATTCTTGCAAAAATTAGATAATTGTTGGATGTTAGTGAAACATTCAGAACTTATTCAGAAATGAATGAAATTATTTGTGAATTGTTTCTTTGTTAGAAAATCTTTGTAAAGATTATTTTTTCAAAATCAGTTAACTATTATTATTTTATGAAATTTCAAGAAATTCCTTTTTCTTCTAATGTTTATATTAGTTATAAGGAGACATAGTCGGTGAATTTAAATAATGAGATTTTGGGGGTCAAACAGGACGCACAGTTACGGAAAATCTGCTCTAAATTGTAAAATAAAACAATCAATAAAACTAAGATATTATTTATTTAGAAAATCTTTTAAATGCTTACATGGAATATATTATGGACACCACTGCCTTAAGAAAAATAGATGATGCAAGAATTGCAGTCAGTTTTGTTTTTAACTTAGAATAATTTATAAACTTTTAAAATTCTGTATTAATTTGTAGGTGTCATGTGATGTTTTTGTTAAACTAAAGACTGTATTTACTAAGTAAATGGAAAAGTTCGCTAAATTAAATGACCCCCAATATTTTGAAAAAGAATTTTAAATTTATTTTATATGTAAATAAATGTGCCGAGTTTTGTAAATACGGTAGTTCAAACGCGACATTATCAGAAAATACGAGCGGTAACTATGGTAAAGTAACTCTTGGTACTGAGCCCTCTTTTTGAATTAATGATGTGAAAAATATATATATATATATATATATATATATATATATATATATATATATATATATATATATATATATATCTTAGTAACAGCTTCAATAGGTTGGCATAGTATTCTCCATTGATGGTGTGGCCCTTTCGAAAATAATCAATAAACACAATTGCTCTTGCATAGAAAAATCTGAAGCCATCACCTTCCTTGCAGATGAATCCATGGCATTCTTTGGAGCATATGAGCAGTGGTGTTTTCACTGCCTGGATTGCTTCTGTCTCAAGGTGATGAACACAACACTTACCCTGGTTTAAGAAACGTTGATGATCTACCTCAAACACTATCTGATTTTGCTGAGATGTGATCAGTCTGGTGCGCTTTTAAACAGGTGTCAGAAGACGTGACACCCACCGTGCAGAAATCTTTGTAAATCACTGTGCAGAATATTCTCAAGTATCTCACGGGATATGCTGATAACTAACAGTAACCATGTGACCATGAATGTCCTGGTGGGGGGGGGGCTTTTTCTGCAGGTACTTGATAACGTCACGATGCCAAATTTTGTCCATTTTCAATGAAAGTCTATACTTGTTACTTTTGAAGTCTTCTTTGAACAGTCAGATGTCAGTTTACCTGGAAAGAAACACTGAAGTTATTAATAAGAAGAGTTGAAATGAATGCATGCTCTAGCATCACCCTTTCAGAGAGAGCCTATGTACTTTTTAGCCTACCCTCATATAAACTCTAAGTCTAACTCCGGACAAACACACACACACACACACACACACACACACACACACACATATATATATATATATATATATATATATATATATATATAATTATTATTATTATTATTATTATTTTAAGAGATTATAACAAAACAAGTTTCAATATTTTGATTGTACTTCTTCAGGCGATGGTAACTGTGATTTAATAATTTCCATGAAAATTTCAGAAGCAATGTTTTACCTCTTTTTACGAAAAAATGGAGGTCTTGGATCCATGCCAAGATGACATGACGCTGTCACTTTCTTTTTAAAAGTAAATGCTACGAACAGTGGAATTTTACTTCACCTGTTCTTTCTTTCATTCGGATATATATATATATATATATATATATATATATATATATATATATATATATATATATATATACGTGCATATGTGTGCATTATGAGTGTGGAATAGATACAAATTAAATAATATATACCCGGAATCATGCTAACAGCTTGGTAGTGAAGTTCAAGAATTGTCGGTTTTCTGTGAACTGATTTTGATAAAATTTTTCCCAGCTGGTTTGCCAAAGCCATTGTTAGGTTTTCATTATTCTGAGCAACGTCCTTTTTTTTTTCAGATTTGACAGTTTTTGGTGAACCACGCTAATAGCTTTTGAATTTAAATAGCCCATCTACAAATTTTTGGGAGAAAATGTAAAATGATGTCACATAATAAGCATACCTTGAGTATATATTTAACAGAAAACTATATTAATATTACAAGATTTATCGACATAATGAATTATTTGGCCAAATGAGTGCCATTTCGACGGATAACTTCAAAAAACCCTGAAATCTGTCAAACTTTAATCGTAGCCGGTTGGAATGCCTCTACTGCCTATAAAATATCTTTCGACGAAAATTGTCGTCCATTGGCATAAACAACTTGTTTAATGACGGACCAAAGATTTTCAATAGGTCTGAGATACGTACAGGCAGGCTGCCACACCACCAACTTTTCACCTTGTATGCCGTAAGAGACTAGGAATGCCTTGGCGACCCTGGCAAAGTGGGAGAGAGATTTGTCATGCATGAATGAGTCCTTAGAAATGACAGCGGTATGTCATCTAGCCATGGATCCAAGACCACCTTTAGATTGCAGTAGGCGACTGCAATCAATTTAAAGACTTCAGGCACTAAGAACTGGCCATCTCCAATGATACCAGCCCACAACATGGTATCTATCTACCTATCTGTTTTAGTCTGTTCATATCTATCTATCTATCTATCTATCTATCTATCTATCTATCTATCTATCTATCTATCTATCTATGTCATGTCATCTATCTATCTATCTATCTATCTATCTATCTATCTATCTATCTATCTATGTAATTTTGCTCTGTCCTATCTCAATTTGCTTGTATCTATCTGTATAAATATATCGGTTCTATCTATCTATCTATCTATCTATCTCAGTTTTGTTCAGTTGTATCTCAATTTGCCGTATCTATCTATCTATCTATCTATCTATCTATCTATCTATCTATCTATCTATCTATCTATCTCACCAGTTTCTTTATCTATCTATCTATCTATCTATCTATCTATCTCAATTTTGTTCATCGTATCTCAGTTTGCACGTATCTATCTATCTATCTATCTATCTATCTATCTATCTATCTATCTCACCAGTTTCTTTATCTATCTATCTATCTATCTATCTATCTATCTATCTATCTATCTATCTATCTATCTCAGTTTTGTTCAGTCGTATCTCAGTTTGCACGTATCTATCTATCTATCTATCTATCTATCTATCTATCTATCTATCTCAGTTTTGTTCAGTCGTATCTGTTTGCACGTATCTATCTATCTATCTATCTATGTATCTATCTAGCTATCTATCTATCTATCTATCTCAGTTTTGTTCAGTCGTATCTCAGTTTGCACGTATCTATCTATCTATCTATCTATCTATCTATCTATCTATCTATCTATCTATCTCAGTCTGTTCATATCTATCCATTAATCTTTCTATCCATCTATCTTTCTAATCTTGTGTCTCTCATTTTATATGCTTTGAATCAACTTTGTGTCCCGTAGTTTCATGTCATAGCATTAAAAATAAGAAGAGAAACACATTATTTCGCTTTACACCTGACACCGAACAGCCATTTCTGTCCTTCCTATCATATTTCTTATGTGTGAATCTGCTTGTTGCTGACAACACCAAAAATGTCACTGCGTAAATCGATAAGGAGTAAACAAACTAATTCTGCCAAATTCCTAAAACTCATGAGCAAACCTTCACGACTACATTTATGAGAGTCTCAAAAAAAAAAAAAGCGGAAAAAATAGAAAAAAAAAACCGCGGAAGATTTCGAATTATGCACACACGATCAAATGCAATGATTTTGAGAGAAGATTTACTTGAAAGAAATAGAATTTATATTTCGCAAAGGGTTTTAATACGGGAGAAAAAGCATGCCCGTTAATAGGAATTACTGAAAAGAAAAACAATATAACGTTTACAGCGAAAGAATCTGAAAGAAAATGAAAGAAAACGAATGGTTACGATGACAATCAAATTGAAGCTTGAATATTGCGATAAAAAAAATAGTCTAACACATTTTCTTCCGAAAATCTCTTCCAAAAATGGTAAAAAACGCTAAACCGCTATACAAATCGTCCCAAAATTGTTTTTAAATTGAACATTTCTAAAAGCGTTTGATAAAGAAATTCACAAAGAAATATTGGAACTGCTATTTGACCTTGACATAGTTGGGAAGGATATGGGTAAATAGCAGGTTAGATCTATCTATCTATCTATCTATCTATCTATCTATCTATCTATCTATCTATCTATCTCGGTCTGTTTATATCTATTTATCTATCTCAGTCTATTCACATCTATCTATCGATGTATCTATCTATCACAGTCTGCTGATATCTATCTATCTATCTATCTATCTATCTATCTAATCCATTACATTCACCTGTGTGCTAATAAACTTGGGAAAAGTGTGAATCCTCTTCTTCTCCCTCAGCTAGGGATAAATAGCAGGACAGACCGGGTTCTATAACCTTGGATAGCAACTGGTCTATTGCAGCAAGAAATGGCAACTTGCTGCGGGAAAAATCTAACTCGTGAGTTATGTATCGAAAGATACATGAACGCCTAAGCGTGTATCACGCATGGCACATCACTGACTGACTGACTTTCCAGTCGAATCCATAATATTCACTTACGTGCTAATACCCTTGGGAAAGGTATGAATCATCTTCTTCTCCACCCCCAGATATAGATAAATAGCAGGACAGACCGGTATCTATAGCCTTGTATGGCAACTGGTCTACCGCAGAAAGAAATGGCGACCTACTGCGGGAACAATCTGCCTCGTCAATCATGTATCGAAAGATGCATGATCGTCTAAGCGTGGGTCAGGCAAGGCACATAACTGACTGATTGACTTTCCAGTCGAATCCATAACATTCACTTACGTGCTAATACCCTTGGGAAAGGTATGAATCCTCTTCTTCTCTCCCTCCCCCTAGCTATGGATAAATAGCAGGGCATGATCACCTAAGCGTGTATCACGGATGACACATAACTGACTGATTAGAAAACCGCCTCCACACGGTTCTCTGTCGATATCCATTACACCACCAGACACAGCCAATGAAAGAGTAAGCAGTATTATGATATCAATAATATCAATAAGTCTTTTATTCGCCCAAATTATACAAAGATATATTTTTTTTACTAATGTTCACCCAATACTTTGTTGTATTAGCTTGAGAAAGGGTAAGCAGTAAAGTTCTTGGGACTGGACTTGATGACGTCAAAATTTAATTAGTGAATAAAATTTCAAAGCTCATTCGGAGACGTTCGAAATATCGCGTGGAAATAAACTTTAGAAGGAACAGGAAGCCCAATTCTAAACAGGAAACGAGGTAAAAACCTTTACTTCTTTATGTGCCGTGTCCCTTCAAGACGTAGACGATCATGGCTCTCTACTTCTTCCTATCCCTTGTACCTCTCAATAAATTTCGTCCCTCTGCCACCTTAGACCCTGTTCTGTCATCCACTTTCTTGAGCCCGCCAGGTATTTCATGTTGCTTTCCCTTGTCTCTCTTCCCCCGCTATTCGTCCCGTGAATATCAGATTCTCCAGGCCCTCCTTTCTCATCACGGGTCCCAGAAATTTCTTCTGCCTCTTCCTTACGTTAAGCATAAGCTTCCTCCTTGTTTGCATCCTCTGCAAAACCACATCTTTGCTCACATGCTAGTTCCATGATATCCTCAGCATCATTCTTTCTGTAGAACCATCCGTCCGCTGCTTCGAATCTCTTCTTCATCTTTGAGGAGACCGTCCAACATTCGCTGCTACAGAGAAGGAGAGACGTCAGGTTGCAGCTCAGTACTGTTCTCTTTGCTACCAAAGAAATCCACCTGTCTCGCGCTTTGAGAATGCATCCTTGGCCATCAATACGCTGATCTCAGCACTTACCGTAAAGAAGGACAGATGTCACGTAACATCAGTGTTCTTTTTGGCAAAATCCTGTCTGCAATACTCTTCCCAGCTTTTGGGATGCATCCTTGGCCACAATATGTCTAGGGATCTCAGTGTCGCACTTACCGTAAAGAAGGACAGATGTCACGTAACAGCTTAGTATTCTTTTCTTTGTTACCAAAGAAATCCACCTGTCCGCAATCTCTTCCAGCTTTTGGGATGCTGGCCATACCAATACGTCTAGGGATCTCAGTGTCGCACTTACCGTAAAGAAGGACAGATGTCACGTAACAGCTTAGTATTCTTTTCTTTGTTACCAAAGAAATCCAGCAATACTTTCCCAGGGATGCATCCTTAGCCATGCCAATACGTCAGGGATCTCAGTGAACCGTAAAGAGGACAGATGTCACGTAACAGCTTAGTATTCTTTTCTTTGTTACCAAAGAAATCCACTGTCTCACAATACTCTTCCCAGCTTTTGGGATGCATCCTTGGCCATGCCAATACGTCTAGGATCTCAGTGTCCTTACCGTCACGTAATCCACCTGTCAATACTCTTCCCAGCTTTTTGGGATGCATCCTTGGCCATGCCAATACGTCTAGGGATCTCAGTGTCGCACTTACCGTAAAGAAGGACAGATGTCACGTAACAGCTTAGTATTCTTTTCAGCTTTGCAAAGAAATCCACCTGTCTCATAATACTCTTCCCAGCTTTTGGGATGCATCCATGGCCATGCCAATACGTCTAGGGATCTCAGTGTCGCACTTACCGTAAAGAAGGACAGATGTCACGTAACAGCTTAGTATTCTTTTCTTTGTTACCAAAAAATCCACCTGTCTCAATACTCTTCCCAGCTTTTGGGATGCATGGCCATCCCAATATTAGGGGATCTCGTCGCACTTACCGTAAAGAAGGACAGATGTCACGTAACAGCTTAGTATTCTTTTCTTTGTTAGTAAAGAAATCCACCTGTCTCGCAATACTCTTCCCAGCTTTTGGGATGCATCCTTAGCCATACCAATACGTCAGGGGATCTCAGTGTCATTTTACCGTAAAAGAAGGACATATGTCACGTAACAGCTTAGTATGCAAAGAAATCCACCTGTCCTCAGCTTTTGGGATGCATCCTTGGCCATGCCAATACGTCTAGGGGATCTCAGTGTCGCACTTACCGTAAAGAAGGACAGATGTCACGTTTAGTATTCTTTTCTTTGTTAGCAAAGAAATCAACCTGTCTCGCAATACTCTTCCCAGCTTTTGGGATGCATCCTTGGCCATGCCAATACGTCTAGGGATCTCAGTGTCGCACTTACCGTAAAGAAGGACAGATGTTAACAGCTTAGTATTCTTTTCTTTTGTTACCAAAGAAATCCACCTGTCTCGCAATACACTTCCCAGCTTTTGGGATGCATCCTTAGCCATGCCAATACGTCTAGGGATCTCAGTGTCGCACTTACCGTAAAGAAGGACAGATGTCACGTAACAGCTTAGTATTCTTTTCGCAAAGAAATCCACCTGTCTCGCAATACTCTTCCCAGCTTTTGGGATGTGGCCGCCAATACGTCTAGGGATCTCAGTGTCGCACTTACCGTAAAGAAGGACAGATGTCACGTAACAGCTTAGTATTCTTTTCTTTGTTACCAAAGAAATCCACCTGTCTCGCAATTTAGCTTTTGGGATGCATCCTTAGCCATTATCTAGGGATCTCAGTGTCGCACTTACCGTAAGAAGGACAGATGTCACGTAACAGCTTAGTATTCTTTTCTTTGTTAGCAAAGAAATCCACCTGTCTCAATACTCTTCCCAGGATGCATCCTTGGCCATGCCAATACGTCTAGGGGATATCAGTGTTTGTAAAGAAGGACAGATGTCACGTAACAGCTTAGTATTCTTTTCTTTGTTACCAAAGAAATCCACCTGTCTCGCAATACTCTTCCCAGCTTTTGGGATGCATCCTTGGCCATGCCAATACGTCTAGGGATCTCAGTGTCGCACTTACCGTAAAGAAGGACAGATGTCACGTAACAGCTTAGTATTCTTTTCTTTGTTAGCAAAGAAATCCACCTGTCTCGCAATACTCTTCCCAGCTTTTGGGATGCATCCTTGGCCATACCAATACGTCTAGGGATCTCAGTGTCGCACTTACCGTAAAGAAGGACAGATGTCACGTAACAGCTCAGTATTCTATTCTTTGTTACCAAAGAAATCCACCTGTCTCGCAATACTCTGCCCAGCTTTTGGGATGCATCCTTGGACATCCCAATATGTCTTCGGATCTCAGCGTCGAATTTACCGTCGAAACACTACCCAGGTATTTAAACTTCCGTACCTGCTTGATTTTATTGTCCTCGACCTGCAGATCGTATTTCGGGATCATCCTTTTACTGATGACCATGCATTATGTCTTTTTGTAGTTTGTACTTAGTCCCTTCTTCTCGCCCTCCTTTGCTAATTTCTGTAGGAGGTTTTATAATTCCTTTTCCGCGTTTGCTATCAATACTGCTTCTTCTGCACATCTTATGTTGTTAAGATTGTGGCCGCCAATGCTGAATCCCAGTAGGATTTACAATTGTCTCAGAATTGCATCGCTGTATAAGGTGAATAGGTCCGGTGAGAAGACACATCCTTGCCTTACGCCTCTTTCTATTTTTTTTATATCCGCTGAACTCATTCTCTATTTGCTTGCATGCCGTTTTCTGCCAATATAGGCTCTTGATTATTCTAATATCTTTCCCAAATATATCAAGGTTGCTGATCAGTTCCATCAGTTCTTTGTAGTGTACTTTGTCGAACGCCTTTGCGTAGTCTATAAAGACCATTTGCATTTGTTTTTCTCTTTCTGATAGCATTCTGAGCATGGATAATTCGTTCTTTGTTCCGGTGTCTTTAACGAATCCGCACTGAACCCTTACTAGCTACCCAGAAAAGGAGTGCGAACCGGACGATAGAAGAACCTGATATTAGAATAAAAGTGATCGAAGTATGAGTTGGCTAAACATTGTTCCCAATCGATGTTATAGTGAAACCTCGATTATTAATCAAACTAAATCTCAGTTCGTTGGAACAAAGAACTCATGCGAATGTTCACCATGGAAATAGAGATAGAATGACAATAGGCTTTCCGTCTGTGAGGAAAGAGGTTGTGGGGTGGAAAATAATTGAGCGATTTTGAGCTGGAATGTGAAGACTGAGCAGCGCCAGCTTAGATATGGCAACAAATGCTCCACATTTTGGTGTAATCTGACTATTGTAAAGCCAAAGCATGGGGGCAGGTGCTTCATAAAGCAATCGAATTAGCTGATCGTTTTTCCTGCATTTTTAGCAATGGATTGTATATATGAGTCCTGAAAGCAGAGAGGAGAAATTCATTGGATATTATTGTGACGTAAAAACGCATGTAAATCATTTTCGTATATAAATGAATTGCAAATTATTTTAACTTTTTAACACGTGTAATTATATAAAAGT